TGCGTAGAGGTGACAGCATGATGCAATCCAAAGGACCAGGGCCTGTCCTGGAAACAGATTCTTGACCAAACAAGGCTCATGTCTAGCTAATCTAAGGGCTGAATAATGTACATGAGTCGAGAAGGTTTTCATAAATTTATAGCTGGGGAAGAACTTCCATTACCTACAAGGCCAGCCAGTCAATGCAAGGCAGATGTTACCACTTCTCATATGCTCATTAGTGTGAGCATGTTAAGGAAGACTTATTAATTCATATGGATATTTGAAATACAGTGCACAAGTCAAAAACAGACTATGAATTTAAAGGTGCTAAAGATATTCATTTTAGGTATGTAGTAAAAAAAAAAACACCCACTCTTCATCTGCTATTGCAGATATTTCCAGTACTGTAATCAGTGATAAATTAGTAAAAGAACAGTACAGTCTCTTTGGTCACCCTTCTTTGGCCCAAAGGACTGAGCACACTTAGGCAGTTGTTGCACAACTGGAGCAACAACCTACAGAACTGGAAATAATTCACAAATTTGTCTGCATTTCTCAGGTGGTTCTCACTATCAAAAGCAATTGTTCCCCATTGGGTTATTCATTGGATTGATGTGCATAGTTCCAGTAACTAATTAAATTAACGTTTAATGCTCCTATATACATCCAGATTAGTCATTGTATTATTAGGATTTATTTTGTATTGCCATTAGGATTTATTTCATACTGCCATTAAATGTGAGCATTTAGCTTCTTACCCATTTATCATCCTCCTCCCTGGTACATATATCGACCCTCTTGTCAGTGTGCATCTAACAAAACAGTCCACTGCTTATGAGTGGAGGTGAAATAATCCCTGGATCCATCCCTTGACACTGGCCCATTCTGCATCTAGCATTTGCTCTGCTGTTCTACAAAACTCACGATGGAACAGAAATTCCCCTCTACATTGCATGCCGCTTTACTCTGCAGTCAGTACAGCATTGGCCTGGGACATTTGAATGTGGTTTTGAGCCACATCTTTTTCTGTTCCAGGGTGGGTTTGGTAAAACCACCAAGCGAAGGCTAGATGCAGAATGGGCCAATAACTTGGCTGCCACATTTTGGACGAACTAAAGTTTCTGACCAGTTTTCAAGGTAGCCCCAGGTAGAGCACATCACAGTAATCTTACTTGGATGTGATCAGAGCATGGTAGACAGCAGCCAGATCCCGCTTTTCAAGGAAGAGCCGTAGCCAGTGTATCCATCTAAGCTGACAAATGGTGCTACGTACCATGGAGGAGACTAGGCTAGATTCCAGCAGACCCCTGAGCTATGCACCTGTTCCTTGGGGGGGGGGGAGTGCTCTTCATGAAGCTTTCACTGGGTCAGTGTAGATGTCACAATCCTGATCACCCAGACTGTGGATCAGGAAAATGCCACAAAATTGGAACTCCCTCCTCACACTCCAATTTCCTCATTTCATTTTGGCTGAGCAAACCATTGTTTGCTGTGACATCCAGATCAGGAAACCTATGAATTGAAACCCACCTCAAACAATTGTTTCAGTCCCTGATTTAACGTCAGACTATGTGTGCCCAAATCATAATTTGCCCACTTTGGGCAACAAGGCAAACTAGGAAGAGAGGGATGTAATTTGCATTGTATAGATTGCACTGTTTTATTGCATTGTTCCCCAGCAATTCAGCTCTGTTGCATAATTTGTATTACACTGTTTTAGTGCAGTGTTCTCTAATTTTCTAATCCATTGTTATTCACTGTTGGCTGTATGTTTCATACTGTTCCTGTTCCATTGTTTTTAACTGAGTAATCCACCTTGCATCTTTTGGTTAAAGGCAAACTGACGGGGTGGGGCAATTTCCACCAATTCCATGTGCCTCTCGTGCTGTTCCTGAGGGTCCCCTATGCCCAAGCAGCATGATCTTGGGGAGATCACTGACCTGCAGTGGGAGAGGGGCAAAGGTAGTACGTTGTGTGTTCCACTGACAGAGGTGTCTTGCATAAGCAGAAAATTTAATCTGGAACCAAGCCCATGTAAGTAAGTAAATATGCAAGAAGATCTGTGACCCTGTGAGAAATTCCCGATCCTCCAGTCCAGACCATGTTTTGGAGGATCAGGAATGTGACACCTAAACCAGGCTACTGCCTTCAGAATGTCAATATGCAGCAGACACACTGTGGAAAATCTTGATCAAATGGATGGAAGAACAATGTTAAGACTTATGTTTCCAGTTAGATGGATGGTTTGGTGCTTATTCTCTAAATACGTTGATAAACTTGTATATTTCTTTTCTGTACAAAAACTCAAGATGGCTCTGTGTGTGTGTTTGTGTGTGTGTGTATTTCTAGTAATAGTACTAAAAAATCTAGAATGTGTCTATCAAGCAACTAAGGATGACAAAAGTCATTTTTAGAAACGAGGGAATAAGCTGGCAACCATGTTTGAAAGGAAAATTCAAGCATCTATTTGGAACAGACCAGGTGGATGGATGTCTTAAGCAGGGCTTTTGTTGTAGAAAAAGCCAAGAATGAATTCATTAGCATAATAGGCCATACCCAACAGCAGAATAGCATATTAGGCCACACCCATGACAGCCCAGCTTATTAGCATATTGGACCACATCCCGTGCCTTCCCTTGGCTTGTCCAGGCACCCCACCAGCCCTTGGAGGGAAGCTGGCCCTTGGAGGGAAGGAAAGGCAGTTTCAACTGCCTTCCCTTGGCTTGCCTGGGCACCTCGCGGCTGCGGGGAGTCTGGGCAAGCCGGCCCTTGGACAGGCTGGGGAAGGTACAGCGAGGCATTTAAATGCCTCCACAATCCTTCCAGGCCCACCCCCTGGCCCGCCCACCTTGGAGTCACCCTGGGGGGGGTTTGCTCTCCAGGCCTTTCCTATGTGGCCACGCACGCAGAGGTTTTGGCTGTAGTGGGCGTGGCCAACTCTGAAGCCAGCCGGAACTCCGTTCCTGTGCGTTCCTGCCCAAAAATAGCCTTGGTCTTAAGAAATCACATAGTGTCCATTAGCCTTACGGTCTTCATCATCCACTATTTTCTCTTGAATTTTAGCCAGTGCTCAGTACCACAGAGGAAGTGTGATTGCTTGATCTTTACTTTCAACATCTGCTTCTGTATGAGAGGAGAGGCTAATATCTCCTTCACTTGAGCACTGTCAGTATGACTGGAGCTACAGGTGCCTATTCAAATCTCACTTGAACCATGAACTCCCTAGAAGTCACTGTATTCTCAGCTCTTCCTTTGCAATAATAATATTAATAACTGGTTTGATAACATGCTTTGGACAATATGTAAACACTGAGTAATGGGAACCAGGGTGGTGCAGCAGACAGAGTGCTGGCCTGGGACTGGAATCAGCTGGGTTCAAATCCCAGCTCAGTCAGAAAGCTTGTTGGGTGGCCTTGGGCGACTTACTCTCTCTTAGCCTAACCTATCTCACACAGTTTTTGTAAAGAAAACCAGGCTAACCCTTTGTTTGGAGCCAGTTTGGTGTAGTGGTTAAGTGCGCGGACTCTAATCTGGGAGAACCGGGTTTGATTCCCCACTCCTCCACTCGCACCTGGCTGGATGACCTTGGGCAAGCCATAGTTCTGGCACAGCTGTTCTTGAAAAAAGAGCAGTTTCTGTCAAGAGCTCTCTCAGCCCCACCTACCTCACAGGGTGTCTGTTGTGGGGAGAGGAAGGGAAAGGAGATTGTAAGCTGCTCTGAGACACCTTCGGGTAGTGAAGGGCGGGGTACAAATCCAATCTCTTCTTCTTCTTCTACACTGAGCTCCTTGAAGGGATATAGCAATGCAATCCGAATAACATTTTCCTGGCAGTAAGCCCCACTGAGTAGACTTAAGTAGGGTTCTGAGCAGATCTGCTTAAGATTGCTTTCTTAGTGTGGTCCCATCAAGTCACTGTTGACCAGGGGTCGTTTCGTAGAAAAAAAGCTAGGGGAACTCATTAGCATAACTCATTAGCATATGCCACACCCCCTGACATCAGGGGCCCGGCGGTGGACCTGCAAGGCAGGCAGGAGTGCGAGGAAGCCCTGCCAAGGCCCTCCCTGGCCCCAGGCAGGCAGGGGTGGGGAGAGGTGGGGAGGAAGCAACTTACCCTACCTCTTCTCCTGCCTCCTCCTGGCTGAATGAGGGCCGGAACCGGGGCGGCCGGAAGCAGGGGGCGGGGCTACGTCGTGTGTCCCGCCCCCCTGCACCTCACACGGGGGAACTGCGATTCCCCCCCGAATTGACCTCTGCCATTGACTTATGGCGATCCCTCAGGGTTTTCAAGGCAAGAGATGTTTAGAGGTGGTTTGTCATTGCCTACCTCCATGTGTCAACCTGGATACTTCTTGGAGGTCTCCTATCCAAATACTAGCCAGGGCCGACCCTGCTTAGTTTCCAAGATCTGATGAGACTGGGCTAGCCTGGGCTATCCAGGTCAGGTATCAAATGATAAACAAATGGAAAACCAAACCTATATACAAAGGGGCAGGATTTAATGCTAAAAAATGGGTGGGGTCATGGTTGGCACCACCACAGACCACACAATGGGGCTGTTCAAAAGAGATCACAGACACATTTGACATGGCCTATATGGTGCTTCCATGAGCACAAAATGCTACGGTTCATAGCTGTGTTTCCTTGTTTACTGTGTAATCCTACAGAGAGCTGCACCCTTGAAAATCCACTGAAGTCAATGGGCTGAGAAGGATATAACTCTGTTTAAGACCGCACTGTTAGAATCTCAACACTCAGAGAAGCCTTTGATTTCTGTCAAACCTCAGATACGAAAAACATGGAAGTGTTACATTTCTAAATTAACAGCACTGCAGGTTTTCTAAAGAAACGGCTATTATTACAGGGAAACTCTTGAGAATAATTACATTGCAAATGGACACTTTTCACCAGAACAAGAATGAGGTACAATAATCATACTGGCTATCACTTCTGAGGTGAAAAAGTTTAAGAAGCCATGCAATTCTTTACTCTTTACATCATTGTTAGGTAAATATTTACCAAGATCCTTAAGGAGAGATAATGCTTCCCATGAAACAAATGCTCCACCGCCGTCATCCATGGCTCCCTGCCCTACATCCCAGCTGTCCAGATGTCCACTGACCAGCACAACCTAAAAATACAACCAAAGATATTTGCATGAAATAGCTGCAGTTGGAAGGCTCTGCATCAGATGACTCTTGGATTGTTTAACTCTTCTGGTGGGTTTAGTTCCTGTGGTCCAAACCATCATTTCACAAATATGTTTTGGCCAATGAGATCATTACAAATTACAGTTTTGTCTCAGTGGAAAGTGATGACATTCATATTACATAATTATTTAATAAAGATCAGCTGGCATGTATTGGCCCACACACTGTTGATGTTTTGCAGACTTAGAAGTGATGTCCAGGCGGCAGCATTTTTTTTGGGGGGGGGAGGAAAAAACTCTACAAGAAATGGTTTCTACCGTGTGATAACATGGATCCATCTAGGCAAGTTTTTAAATAAGCAGCCAAGACTCTGAAGGAGACGTTAACTATCAAAGAGTATCACGCTGGCAAGACTGTAAATTGGTCAACCTGTTTTCATCAAACACCGGACTTAGAAAATGTACCCATGCCTGGGAGTGAATTATGGGCTAGTTTGTAAGTGTATTGCAAAACCTGAATTTGCAGCAGAAGCAATACTTTATCTGGAGCAGTGAAAGACTATCTTGTTAATACTGTGTGATGTTTCCTGGCAACCAGAGCTATGTGAGAATGGCTGATAGAGAATTACTTTTTGTTCCTGAGAAAGAACTCGCATTACAACAGCAGGGAACTTTGAATCAAAAGGTAGTGTAATCTGTCATGGGATTAGAAATTGCTATCGTAAAGGGCACTCACAAATTTCTGAATGTTACACCAAGTGAGGTTAAGGTTCTGCGGATCGGGAGAGAACGGATTTTAGCTCTGTTAAGTGACAGGCTTAGCAAACTGGACTACTTTACCACAATGGCAACAAACAAAGCCATAGTCTAAGAGTTTGTAGTGAAAGTGTTACATTTCCTAGCTGGGAGGAGGAAGAAGGGGGAAATGTGTGAGCATGAGGATCCTTCCGGCTCATTCTTATAACATATACAATTCAGTCAGTCAGTCAAACTTTATTTCGCTACAAGATCAGCTCCAGACATTCAACAATAGTAATAAGAATAAAAAAATAATAAAATAAAATTGGGGGGGCACATCCAGTGCGACAGGCAGACTGGGGCGGAGAGATTATGCCTTCCTCGGATAGAGAAGTAAATTTTTTAAGGCTCAGTCAGCCGCTTGCGTATGCCACACGTCCAAAGGCAAAATTTAGCAACTTTATTAGGTATCTAATAAAGTTGTTCAGATCTTCCTGGTAAAGTTGGCAGGTTTGGAGCGATATACTGAGATCAGATGTTGCTACAGAATGAGCAGTGCAGCAGAACATGTTCAATAGATTCTATTTTCCCGGTATGGCATGGGCAGAGCTGTTGGGGGAGTGGGACACGATGGTATCTGCCTTCCAGCAGGGCTGAAGGTAGAAAATTGTTGATGTGTGCAAGCAGGGTTTCAGAGGAGATCCAGGAAATTACAGGCCAGTCAGTCTGACGTCGATACCGGGTAAATTGGTGGAAACCATTATTAAGGAAAGAATTAGTAGGCACATAGATGAACAAAACCTATTGAGGCAGACTCAGCATGGGTTCTGCAAGGAAAGATTTTGTCTCACTAACCTGTTAGTGTTTTTTGAGGGAGTGAACAAACATGTGGACAAGGGGGACCCAATAGATGTTGTTCACCTTGACTTCCAGAAAGCTTTTGATAAAGTTCCTCATCAAAGGCTCCAAAGTAAGCTCAATAGTCACGGGATAAAAGGACAAGTCCTCTTGTCGATCAAAAACTGGCTAATTAATAGGAAACTGAGAGTGAGTATAAATGGAAATTTTCTCAGTGGAGGGTGGTAAGCAGTGGGGTACCACAAGGATCAGTACTCAGTCCATTGTTTTTTTAACTTGTTTATTAATGATTTTGAGTTGGGAGTAAGCAGTGAAATGGCTAAATTTGCATATGACACAAAGTTGTTCAGGGTGGTGAGAACCAGGGACTGGAACACAGAAATTTAGCATTTAGGGAGATGGCTATGAAAGGATCAAGTGCTACAAGTGGACAGGAAAGGGAGAAAACTTATTGTATACCAAATCTCTCCATGGTACACAACTACCATACCAAGCATGCAATAGTCCATCCCTGATTCAAAACCACACGCACTGGGTGACAAGTGGGTTTTTTTTAATGTGGGGGCCCTGGGTCAGTGCGAGAGCACATTCATGGTATGCAGGAAGTTGTAAGTCCAACCAGTGTTCCCTCTCAGCTGAGTTAGTGTGAGCTACCTCACAGTTTTTTAGCCCCTGGCTCACACACCTTTGTCTTTGCTCAGGAAGGACGGCTCCAGAGCAAACAGATTAATGCAGTAGCCAAATCGCTCGCTTACAACTTTACTGCCAGTAGCTCACAAAGAAGAATTTTTGCTCACAAGACTCCACAACTTAAAGGGAACATTGAGTCCAACCCCTTAAAGAGACAGTGGTTAACATTTTGAACTAGGACCTGGGATCCCTGGTCTCAAATCCACACTGTGTGATAATGTTTGCTGGGGGACCTTGGACCATTCATAATCTCACAGGCTGACCCACCTCACAGGGTTGCTATGAGGGCACAATGGAGGGTGGAGTAGGAATGCCAGACTGAACACAGGGTGGCTGTGACATGCCTACGTGACGTGGGTATGTCCTGCCATGAGCTCCTGGAGGAAAGGCAGGGTAAAATGCACAAGACAGACAGATCACTCTTCAGTTAAAAGATCTCGAGGAGCAGGAGATGGGAAAGAACTTCCTATGCCTGAGACACTGGACAGTGACCGCCATTCAGAGTAGACAATACTGAGCTAACCTGACCATGCTGAACCAACCTGACTTGGTATACGTCTATGTCCAGCTTTCTACTGGGTGCTCTTCAACAGCCACCAATCTTCACCGTGGTCTGCTGATCACATTACATTTTAACACTTGCTATATGCAAGCCTGGAAATCAAACCAATAATTCTAGAGCAACTATGGAATCCCCCAAAATGCTACTCACTGCTGGCAGGACAAAACAATTTACCTCTGCTGCTTTGCACATGGCCAGCAGTTAACCTGGGTCCCCCTGACACATGCAAAAGAGCTACATGGGCAACGCTAACAATCCAGAACAATGCCCACTTGGCATGCTAACACTGTACATGTACATTTTCCATATCTAATGTGCTAACACTGCATGCATAATGGCTGAGGACCAAGTTTAAATAACATGTTGGATCATACGCTCTATCACACAAGGAAGTTCTTCTGCCTTACTAGCATCATGTTTAAATCAGGCTGGAGAGTGCAGTGCACCTTAGAGCTCAGCATTCCCCCATGGCCGCACTTTCCAGGAGAAGCTCATTAGGGGCAAGCGAAGTTACTGAAGCCTTTCCACTCTGGTAGCTTCCAAAGGGCAACGATTCATGCCCAGACTCAAAGCCATACGTTTATTCCTTGAGGAATCCCCTGATAAGCTTCTAAAGACAATCCCAAAGTTTCTTGAAAGGAGAACAGTTAAAAGCTACAGTGCTGGAACATTAAAAGTTACTATACCTGCATTATTTAGAAGGAACATGACATTAGAATCTCACTTCTCTTGGGACTCATTGGCAGAAGACACGGGGACAGATTATGCAGAAACTACTGAGCAAGAAGTGAACATGAAGTTGCTCTATCTGAAGGCACCAAGGAATAAATCTGCCAAGCTCCCTATTAAGGTACTAAGAACTAATGGCAAAATGGCTGCCTGCATAATCTGTCAAAGAATTCGCTGGTATCTAAACACCCTGACCAGTGTTCCCTCTAAACTGTGGAGTCTTGTGAGCAAAAATTCTACTGTGTGAGCTACTGGCATTAAAGTTGAGAGCGAGCCATTTGGCTGCTGCATAAATTAGTCTGCTCTGGAGCCATCTTTCCTGAGCTAAGACAAAAATGTGTGAGCCGGAGGCTAAAAAACTGTGAGCCAGCTCACACTAACTCAGCTTAGAGGGAACATTGACCCTGACATGTTAAGGATGTATTCCTATGCAGATTGTTCTGGAATTATGCCCCAATGAACTCAGCAGACTTTTTTCCTGAGTAAACATGTATAGGATTGGACTGTAAGTAGGGTAAGCATGGCTGCTGGTAAAATCTTTGGAATACAATTTCCATGGGCAGTCTTAACTAATGGGCAACAGGGACTGCTTCCCTGGGCTGAGGGCCCCCGACTGCCTAGAGTCCTGCACCTCCTGGAGGGGGGCAGTTGGCTCAGTGCAGCAGCAGCTCTTGCCCACCTCACAAGAGCTTCCCTGTGCTTCGTCCACAGTGGCAGGTGGAGGCATGGCGAGTTCCCCTTCAAGAAGTGGTAGTGATCCAAGGTCCCATTCTAGATTTTTACTCAGGGCCACAGAATCACTAAGACCACTCCTGACTATTTCTATTCATAACTTCCCCTGCAGAACTCAGAGCTCTTCTATCTCCAGCGGGCGTGGGGAGGGGAGTTAATGCATTAGAGGTCATAGTTCAAGGTAAATTCTCCAGACATATTCTATGGAAGTCACCAAATGTATCTCATGCACTCCAATGTGGTATGAATAAGCAATGGAACCGACCCACGCAGGTTTGCATTTTGTTTATATTTAACATACCGAGGAACCACCGACATGTGCATTCTGGATCATGTTTTGCCTGTATTTAAGGGTATTTAAGGATTAGAGCTATTTTCAAGCAGCAGCTCCGTGTGAGCCTTGGGTTTACTACAGTTTCACAGCTAAATGACTGCCTTTCTGCCTCTGAATCCTTATCAGCAGAAGAGAAATTAAAAGCTGGGTACATTTCAAATGCACAATGACTAATTCAATTTCCTGGCAGGCCAGCATTATGACGGTTATCAAACACTTGTCAGTCATGTGCTGAATTCATTTCTCACCAGGACAAGCTGTGTTTAGTGAAAAAAATGAGGAAACCAATCAGAAGGATTCTTCATCCTCCCACTCGCATATGTACACTGGCGGATTAGG